CTGCCCACCTCAGCCTCCCAAAGTGCTGGGATTACAGGTGTGAGCCACTGACTCTGGCCAGGGAGTCTTTCTTGATACCTTTGGGGCTACAGCAAAAAATGGTAGACTCATGAGACGATAATGCTTTCGTGACAACCCAGCTAACCATGCACCAGGTGCCGTTCCAAGCACTTCACATTTATTAATCCTCAAAGCCAAACTCATGCGGCAGGTACTAATTACCATCTCATTTTAGAGATGAGGAAGGGAGGCGTGGAAGCATTAGGTAACCGGCCCGAGATCACAGGTGGTAGGTGCTGGAGCTAATCAGGGCGCAGCTGCCTGGCTCCCGAGCCCACACAGGTGACAGCTGGTTTTCAACTGACCCAGCGCTCTCAATTGATTCACAGACTAGGGTGGAGGTGGGGGAAGAATCCCAGATCTTACTTGGACAGCCCGCCCCTCCCCAAGGAGTAGGTACCTGACCCCAGCCGGGTCAGTCACAAGCTCTCTGAGGGTCCTGGCGTGCTGGGCTTCTCCCAGGATGGGTGAGTAAGTCGGCTTCCTGTCCTTCCCTGGCTTCACAGTGTTGCTGTCCTTCCCATCTGCAATCCCCCAGCCTCTTAGTTGCTTTTGGCCATCCATGGTTTCTGTTGCTTGCAACCAGAGAGTTCTGCTTGAGGCAGAATGTATATTACCTTTCACTCCACCCAGATCCCTCCTAAGGGACTGTGCCCTCCCCCACCTCCTGACTCTGATGGATGGAGGCAAAAAAGAGAATCACAGAGGTCTCTAGTGAGAGACCACAGGGCTCTGTTTGTTTGTTTTCAAGAGTGAATTTCACTCTCGTCCAGGCTGGAGTGCAATGGTGCCATTTCAGCTCACTGCAACCTCTGCCTCCCGGGTTCAAGCAATTCTCCTGCCTCAGCCTCCCAAGTAGCTGGGACTACAGGCGCTTTCCACCACGCCTGGCTAATTTTTGTATTTTTAGTAGAGACAGGATTTCATCATGTTGGCAAAGCTGGTCTCGAACTCCTAACCTCAGATGATCCACCTGCCTTGGCTTCTTCCCAAAGTGCTGGGATTACAGGTGTGAGCTACTGCGCTGGGCCATAGCTCCATTCTTACCCCTGTCATGTTGATCATCATTTCCCCAATTTGGACTAGAACACAGACCTGCTTATATGATTCGCAGCTGCCACAGTGGCAGAATTAATGCTTTGTGCAAGAGAAGTGGGACTTTTAAAATGCTTTCAAGACTAGACGGCTGGATGGGAGCCAAGAAGATGACCTTTAACCAGCATAATGTAAGGTCTTGCATGTGTTTCCGAAGAACCCATTGTGTGAGTACCAGACAGGGGAGGGAGAGTTGGCCCGATGGCAGTTCGTGAGAAAAGGCTTTCATGCATTGGCAGTGAGTAACACAGCTCTTGGAAACACAAGTGCCTCTAGTAATGCAGACTGCATTACTAGAGATGGAGTGTCTGGAAAACTGGAGCAGTTAGTGCCTTTCAGCTTGGTGGTTGTCAGTCCAAATGGCGAGCAGCTTCTAGTTCTGGTCCCCATACTTTCTTTTTTTTAGATGGAGTCTGGCTCTGTCACCCAGGCTGGAGTGCAGTGGCGTGATCTCAGCTGACTGCAGCCTCCGCCTCTCAGGTTCATGCAATTCTCCTGTCTCAGCCTCCTGAGTAGCTGGGACTATAGGCGCGCACCACCATGCCCGGATAATTTTTTGTATTTTTAGTAGAAATGGGGTTTCACCATGTTGACCAGGCTGCTCTCAAACTCTCGACTTCAGGTGATCCACTTGCCTCCCAAAGTGCTGGGATTATAGGTGTGAGCCATTGTGACCAGCTGGTCCCCACACTTTAAGAGGGACAAGGACAAATTACAGTGTATTCCAATAAGGGTGGCCTGGGGTTCTGGGGAAGCCACAGCAACATGATGGCATTGACTACAGCTCAGGGAACCAGCTTGGAGAGCCAGGAACCCTGTGTGCAAATTGCTGCAGGAGAGACCCAGGGAAGAGGCCCCAGAGACACAGCAGTAGGGAGGGGCTTTTCAAAGCTCATAATGGGGCTTCCAAAACCTATTGGAGCTCACTTGGCAAAAAGAAGAATTTAAGGGAACAGAAAGATATTAAAATCTGGAGGGCAGTCCGGGTGCAGTGGCTCATGCCTGTAATCCCAGCACTTTGGGAGGCCAAGGCAGGTGGATCACCTGAAGTCAAGAGTTTGAGACCAGCCTGGTCAACATGGTGAAACCCCCGTCTCTACTCAAAATACAAAAATTAGCTGGGAATGGTGGCAGGTGTCTCTAATACCAGCTACTTGGGAGATTGAGGCAGGAGAATTGCTTGCACCTGGGAGGTGGAGGCTGCAGTGGGCTGAGATCACGCCACTGCACTCCAGCCCAGGCGTCAGAGCGAGACATCATCTCAAAAACAAATAAATAAAAATAAACCTAGAGGGCAGGAGGGGCAGCTCAGGTGCTGGAACTGGGAGCTGGAAGCTTGAAGAAAGCAGGTAAATTAGACTCTCCAGCTCTTTCTCCTCTCTACTTTCTCTCTTGCCACAAAACAACATTCTCTGCTTCTTGGGGCAGTGGTCAGTAAATGCAGGCCAGCCCTGGCATTACAGAAACCCCTGTTTGCACCCGCAGTGGCTCCCCACTAAACTGTTCAGGACTGGGGGTAGGGGATAAGAAATGGGGCAGGGCAAAGAAGCCAGGAAGAGTGAGAGGCAGACAGGGGCCAGATAGGTGTGGCCAATTCTTCAAGAACAATCCAGCAGACACCTGCGACCCCAGCTGAGAGCTGGAATATCACTCCTCAAGGGCCCAAGGGTCCTGCCTTTTCTAGTCCCTCCCTTCCTCACCCGAGAGATGACCACTCTGGAGATTTGGGAGTTTTGCTTGGTTTTCTTATCCAAAGAAATAGAAGGTTCTTTTTTGCCTGCCTTGATTGTTGTTGATTTTTTTTTTTTTTTTCTGAATAGATGTCTGTGAGGTTTTTTTTTGTTTTGCTTTTAGTAGAGATGGGGTTTCGCCACGTTGCCCAGGCTGAGGCTGGTCTTGAACTCCTCGCCTCAAATGATCTGCCTGCCCCGGTCTCCCAAAGTGCTGGGATTACTGGCATGAAGCACCATGCCTGGCTCTGTGAGGTGTTTTTTGTTTTTGTTTTTTAGAAAAAGTCTTGCTCTGTGGCCCAGGCTGGAGTGCAAAGGTGTCTTGGCTCACTGCAACCTGTCTCCCAGGTTCAAGCAATTCTCCTGCCTCAGCCTCCCAAGTGGCTGGGATTACAGGCACCTGACACCACACCTGGATAATTTTTAGTATTTTTAGTAGAGACAGTGTTTCACTATGTTGAACAGGCTGGTCTCAAACTCCTGACCTTGTGATCCACCTGCCTTGGCCTCCCAAAGTGTTGGGATTACAGGCATGAGCCACAGCATCTGGCCCTGTAAGGTGTTTTCATGTTTAGGCGCAGAGCTGAGAGGCCAGGCTGGTCCAGGACCTCCAGTCCCCTTCAGGGAATGGAGGGACCGTGAGAAAAGCCAGCGAGGCATCCATCCTGGACATCTTGGTAGAGCCCACTCCCTGGACAGCCTGGGCAGAAGGCGGCAGGCTCCCCGAGGAGCAGGAAGAGACGGGCAGTGGTGGAAAACTGGCAGAAACTTCTCTACCACTTCATCCACAGGGATGAGGTTGAGCACCCTGGGATTCACATCAGGTGGTTCCACCTACAAACGCCAGAGCCACGCCCACGGGTTTCAATCCCGGCTCCGCCCCTCCCCTCCGGCCAAGCAGTCGCCTGGCCTGGTGGACAAGGTCTACCCTGAGGTTTCTGGGAGTGAAGGGCTGGGCTGGGCTGGGGAAGGTGGTTCTGGGCCCTCTGGATAGAGCAGGAGCAACCAGGTGGCTGGACAATATGCCCAGGGCCGGGGCATGTGTTGGGGGTGCCTGAGCGGGAAAGCTAGAGGGCCAGGGGACAGCAGCTCTGGGAGCCGTGTCTGGAGCCATGTCTGGGTGTGGGCAGGCAGGCTTGTAGGCCCGTCTCAGAAGAGTTCCACAGTGACCTGGGCCCTCTGGGATCTGGGATGGAGTGGGACTGCCTCAAAGCTGTCATTGTCACCCCCTTGCCCGCCTGACTATCTGGGGCTTAAAATAGTGCAGGGGCACAGCGGATCTCCTGAGAAATTTCTGGCAAAGAGGATTGGGGGGAGGGGTGTGAGTCACAGCTGGGAACCCTTGAGTTTGAAGCTCCCAAAGCCCAGCTGTTCCACCCCTGCCCCCAGGGAGCCTGGAATCCATGGACAGGGCAGGTGGGGGGGTCCTCTTTCCCTCCCTGTCCTGCTGTGGGATCGCGGAGACTGCCCTAGCTCTCCCACAGAGGCACTAGCTAGGTGGCTGGGCCAAGTCCTGTCCTTTTGGGACATCAGTTTCCCAGAGGTACCAGGAGTTGTGGACCTCGACATCTGCTGAGTGGCCCCTGGAGTTCATGGCAGGTGGTCCCACTACAGATCCCCAGAGTCAGCCGTGGGCTGAAATCCCAGTTCCTCTCCTACTGGGTGTCTCTGAGCGAGTCCTCCCAGCTCTCCCGGTGAGTTTCCTCACCTGTAAAATTCACAATGAGACCAAGTCCTGCTCGTTCCAAGCTTCAGATTGAGCTGTCCGGTAAAGATCCTGGCAGCTCCTGGGCACCCCCCATGGCCTCTACCCCATCCTCAGATGGCACATTTTGTGCTGCTGGGAATGTTAACAGTGATGTGACCCCACATTTAATGCTATGTACTTCACACACACTACCTCTGGCTCCCACGCTCCGGAGGACAGAGTTGGCTACTGTCCCCAGCGCTCTCCTGGGACAAATTACAGTGTATTTAGCCTCAGTACTGGCCACTCCCGGACGGGAAGGGGTCTTGGCTCCGGAGCGGACCCTCTTGGGCATCTACCACATGCCGGGCTCTGTGCTTGGCTCGCCCCTGGAGTCCTGTGGGGCAGGGCTGATGACCCTGGGTGTGCAGATGGGGAGACAGGCTCGTCGCTCCCCTGTCTCAAAGGGGTGCAGAGACGCTTGGCAGTCGGCAGGCGCGGGGCCAGGCTCTGGGCCGCGCGGTTCGTGTGGCTGGCGCGCCCTCTAGCGGCAGCCCTGCGCGCTGCGTGGGGACTGGTGCGGGAAGTCCCTTCTCCCAACCGGCCGCGGTCCCGCCTGCTGCGGCTCCACCTCCGCCAAGCTGCGAGCGGTCTGGCCCTGCCAGTCCGTCCTCATGGCTTCGCAGGGACGCGGCTGCACGCCCCGCCCCGATTACCTTGGAGACCGCTTGTACAGTTTCCCCTTTCTTCCGCCTGGCTCTGGGGTCCTGCGGCCGCCTAGGCGGGAGCCCGCCGGGTTGCGGCGGGGCCACAGCGGGGTCCCGGCCATGCTGGCCGTGCGGAGAGTGAAATTCTTTGGCCGGCACAGCGGGGAGGTGAGACCCAGCGGGCGCTGCCCAGGCTCCTGGCTTTGGGTGCAGAGTGGTTCCTGGTTCTGTGTCGTGGGGGTTCCAGAATATTCCCTGGGCACTAGCTCAGGACATTGAGTCTAGAGTGGACTTGGCTAACCAAAGAAGGCTCAAAGTAGGCCCTCGGCTCCAGTGCTGGGCCCCAACTCCAAAGCAGCTCTAGGTTCTAAGCTCTGCCGCTGGAAAGGCTCTGGGCTCTGCCTGGAGACGGGCTCAAGGCTCCCTGTTGACTCCGGTGTTTTTTGTGGCTCTGGTTCTAAAGTGACTCAGGGCTTAGAGTACATTCTGGACTCTCCCTTGTCAGCTGCAGCTCTGGAATTGGCTGTTGGCTCTGAGGTTCCAGGCTCTGGTTCCAAAGAAGGCTCCTGCCTCCAACTGCAGCTCGGGTTTTACGGCTCCAGAGAGGACCCAGTGGGGGCTGGGTTCTGGGCTCTGGTTGTGGAGTGAGGCTTGAAGTCAAGCTCCAACCCCAGGCTCTTGGGGGCAGTGTTTATGGGTCTGGGATGAGCCGACAGCGGTTCCTTCCTCAGAATGGAGCCGCTTTTGTGCTGTTTCCAGGTCAGCTCCTCTGCCTTCTCCCCCGATGGCCAGATGCTGCTCACAGCCTCAGAGGATGGCTGCGTGTATGGCTGGGAGACCCGGAGTGGGCAGCTGCTGTGGAGACTGAGTGGCCACACAGGTGGGGCTCCCAAGCCTGGCTGGGAAGACCAAGGCACAAGGGTCTGGCATTCTGCAGAGATGACCGCAGTGACCACCAATGAGCTGGGCACGGGTGCAAGGCAGAGCTGGGCAGGATAGGACACGGGACGTGATACCTGGGCTCTGGGACTCAAACTCTAACAGGCCTTGACTCAGATCCTTCTTTAAAAAAACAAAACAAACAAAACCGGGATGTAACATACTGTGGTATCCTTTTGTGTGTGTGTGTAACAGAGTCTCGCTATGTTGCCCAGGCTGGAGTGTAGTGGCGCAATCTCTGCTCACTGTAACCTACACTTCCTGGGTTCCAGTTATTCTCCTGTCTCTCAGCCTCCCAAGTAGCTGGGACTGGAGGTGCACACCACCACATCCAGCATTTTTTTTTTTTTTTTTTGAGATGGAGTCTGGCTCTTGTTGCCCAGGCTGGAGTGCAATGGTGTGATCTCAGCTGCAACCTCTGCCTCCTGGCTTCAAGCAATTCTCCTGCCTCAGCCTCCAGAGCAGCTGGGATTACAGGCATGAGCCATTATGCCCAGCTAATTTTGTATTTTTAGTAGAGACAGGTTTTCTCCATGTTGGTCAGGCTGGATCTGCCTGCCTTAGCTTCCCAAAGTACCGGGATCCCAGGCACGAGCACCGTACCTGGCTTGTATCCATTTTTACCTGTACAGTTCAGTGTTCAGTACCTTGGCCTCCCGAAGTGCTGGGATCCCAGGCATGAGCCACCGTACCTGGCTGTATCCATTTTTACATGTACGATTCAGTGTTCAGGACCTTCACATTGTCATGACACCTATCTCCAGAATGCTTTTTCTCTTGCAAAACTGAACCTCTGACCCCACTAAACAAATCCCCAATCCCCCACCTCCCAGCCCCTGACAACCGCTGTTTTTCTGTCTCGATGAATCTCACATAATCTGAGTGCCTCACATAAGTGGAGTCACAGTACTCATCCTTTTGTGACTGGCTTATTTCACTTAGCATGATGTCCTTAAGTTTAAGCCATGTCGCGCCTACCACTGTTTTGCTTTTTTTGAGGCAGAGTTTTGCTCTGCTGCCAGGCTGGAGTGCAGTGGTGCAAACTTGGCTCACTGCAACCTCCGCCTCCCAGGTTCAAGTGATTCTCCTGCCTCAGCCTCCTGAGTAGCTGAGACTATAGGCATGCGCCACCATGCCTGGATAATTTTTGTATTTTTAGTAGAGATGGAGGTCTCAATCTCTTGACCTCGTGATCTGCCCGCCTTGGCCTCCCAAAGTGCTGGGATTACATGCATGAGCCACCATGCCCTGTCCTTACTGCTGTTTTGACTGTGATCTTGATCAAGTCCTGTAACCTCCCTGAGCCATTTCCACTGACACGATGCAAGCAAAGTCCCTAGAACCCAGTGAGGACTCAATAGACGTAACTATTGTAATTATTATTAAGGAGACAGAGAAAAAAAATCAGGCAATTACAGGCAGTCTGGTGAATGCTGCAGAGAGGGCAAATTGGGCTGGGAGGTCAGACGAGGCAATGAACCTAGGCAGGGGTTGTTAGGGCAAGTTTCTGGGAGGTACCTACATTTGACTTGGGTACTGCTTTTTCAGATGAGTACGTTGAGGTTGGGTGTTCCTAGGTTGACAGCTCAGCTAAGGCATGGAAATCCAGGCATTTCTGGGAGGCTGGAGTTTGGGTGAAGGGAGGCTAGTGACGAGGCTGGAGAAATTAGCAAGGATTGGACTGAGTGGGCAGGAGTGGCAGGCAATGCCCTGTTCCCTGACTGTGTTCACCCACCCAGGCCCTGTGAAGTTCTGCCGCTTCTCCCCCGATGGCCACCTCTTTGCCAGCACCTCCTGTGATCATACTGTCCGCCTGTGGGATATGGCAAGAGCCAAGTGTCTGCGAGTCCTGAAGGGTGAGTGGGCTGGGAGCCAAGCAGCCAGGCCCGCATTCCCTTTCAGACGGGTGCTGTGTCTGTCCTGTGTCATATCACCCCTCCTCCTTCCCTGACCCCGGGCTGGTGCCTGCAGGTCACCAACTGAGTGTGGAGATGGTCAGCTTCAGCCCTGACTCGAAGCAGCTGGCATCGGGTGGCTGGGACAAGCGGGTGATGATCTGGGAAGTGCAGGCAGGTGGAGGGCTGGGGCCCCACCAGCCTGGGATCCCAGGACCAGTTCCAGAGAGGACGTCACCAGTCTTACCCTCCCGGCTCAAACCCTCCACTGGTTCCCCATGCCACAGCAGCCAGGCGCCTCTCCAGGCCTCCCTGCACACAGCAGCCCTCGCACCTCAGGCTTTTTGCACAAGGTCCCTGTTGCCTGAACTGTCAAGGCCCAGGTAGCCACTGCCTCCTGAAGCTCAGGGCTGTCTCTAGTCTGGCCAGGTGCTGCGCCTCTTAGTTGGGCACCGCGATTCCGTGCAGAGCAGTGACTTCTCACCCACGGTGAACTGCCTGGTGAGCCTCCCCTCTACCCTGGACCCCACCTCAGTAGCTCCATACCCACTTGGAGCTGAGCAGTGGGGAGGGGATGGACTCCAGGTCCCACCTAGATGCAGAGTGGGTTGGGGGTGCTGGCTGGGCCAGACTCACAGGAGCTGCCTGCAGGCCACTGGGTCCTGGGACTCCACCATACGCATCTGGGACCTGCGGGCAGGGACCCCAGCAGTCTCCCACCAGGCGCTAGAGGGACACAGTGGCAACATCAGCTGCCTGTGCTACTCAGCATCTGGCCTCTTGGTAAGTGGGGTGTCCTGGGTTCCAGGCTGGTCCCTTGCTGGCAGCCAGGCCCTTAAGAAGGGCCCCAGTGAGCTCACAGGCCCCCATCCCTGGGGATCAGAGCTATCTGCTATCCAGGCCTCTGGCTCCTGGGACAAGACCATCCACATCTGGAAGCCCATGACCAGCAGCCTGCTTGTCCAACTGAGGGGCCACATCACCTGGGTGAAGAGCATCGCCTTCTCTCCTGACGAGCTGAGGCTGGTCAGCGCCGCATACTCCCGCATGGTAACTACTCCTGCCCCGTCCGGATCCTACCCCCTCATCCTACCCCCCAGGAGCCCTCAGCACTCACTCCAGAAATGTCCACATCCCCACTTGCCCTAGCTAGCCCCGAGGGGGCAAACGCAGGACCCAGGTGCCAGCCTCTCCACCTAATAGCACCAAGGTCGGGCTGGGCCATTGGTAGCTGCATCGACATTTCTATGACCCAAATGGCATCAGGCAAAAGGGAACCCCTGCACTGAAATGTCAAAAGCAGGCCACAAACAAAACCTACACCAAGAGGTGCAGATGTTGTCTGGGCTGGGCGCTGTGGCTCACACCTGTAATCCCAGCACTTTGGGAGGTGGTGGTGGGTGGATCAACCAAAGCCCCCATCTCAAAAAAATTTTGTCTGGGACTTTCCCAGAGATGGTTTCAGATGCCACACTGGCCTGGTGAGGCTTCCTCCCCCCTCCCTCCCTCCTTTAACAGGTCAAAATCTGGGACTGCAACACAGGGAAGTGCCTTGAGACCCTGAAGGTAAGGTGTGGGACTGTGAACTGAGGGAGCAGGGAGGCAGGACGCCCTGAGCCCCACCCTCTACTCTTGGCAGGGAGTCCTGGATTTGGCCCACACCTGTGCCTTTACCCCAGATGGGAAAATCTTAAGTGTCTGGAGCTGCCGATCAGACTAGACGTCAAGCATCCCACACGACCACATCACCTAGGGCCCCTCAAACCTACCACCACCTCAGACAGCGCTGACCACTTCCTGCAGCAGCACACAGGCATGCCACTTCTCACCACAGGGCCACAGTGACTGTGCCGCCATCCCAACAGATCCCCATGGCCAGGGGTCTCCTGCTCCCGCCCCAACCACCAAGAGCAAGAAACAGCTGCAGGATGCTGGCTGGAACCCATCAGACACCTGGTACCCAGAACCAGACCTGCCCGCCTCTGCCCCCAACCCCATCAGTGGAAGTGCCAGGAAACAAAGCAGTCTTAAGCCAGCTGTGTTTTATTGACGGTGCGCCACTCAGGCCTTGACTGCGTACTTCCGCAGCGGGTACAGCCGCTCCTTCCGCTGCTGCTTCTTGGTCTTCAGGTTCTCTTCGTGCTTGTTGAGCCGGCGGCGCATGGCACGCGTCTTCTTCGGCCGCAGGTCCAGGGGCTTGTACTTCTTGCCCTGGAGACAGACAGCAGGGTGAATCTGAGGACCCAGGGCGAGGAGCTACTGTGGCAGCTAAGGAGGCTTGGGAGGGCAGAACCAGGGTTCTGGCGCTGGGGAGATGCCAAGGGAGACAGGAGGGCCATCCAGAGCCACTCGGGAGGAGGCTGCCTGCCCCGATGGGACTACCAGCAGGACACACGTCACTAGCTCAGTACCCCAAATCCAAGGCTGGTGGGAACATCCTCATTTCATGAAAGTCTCCTGACCTACTGGGCTGTGTGCCCAAGTCTTGGCAAAGCTGTGGAAGAGCAGGGACTTGCACCTTAGTCAGATGACTCCCAACTCAGTGCTCCCACTGCCCGATTCCCAGTCATGAGGACAAAGTCACATGACAACCCAGTAACGGACACGCAGCACCCACCAAGCCCCACGGGTGGTCACTGCTACCTCGGCTCTGGTTAGCAAGAGTGTGCCGGGAGCTGAAGCTGTGCTCCATTTGTCTGCAGGGCCTGCCAGGTGCTGCCTGTGAAGGCCCAGCCTCAGCGGCCTGGCTGTCCAAGGCCAAAGTCCTGCCCCCTTCATGCTTTGGGGCCACTGCCCACAGCTGTCACAGTACCATCATCTGTCTTTCCATCCCTGGCTCCCACTCCCGCCCCACTTGCTCTCCACTGGGGGGTTCTAGACCACAGTGGTTCCTGCTGGCCTCTCCTGTGAGTTCTGCAAAGGTCCCCTGGGCCCCCTTTAGGACTGGGCCCTGTGCTGAGAGCTGACTTAGAAAAGAATCTGACCCAGTCCCTGCTCAGGGGTCCTAGCCCAGTGGGCTAACAAATGGCCCATGGTGCAGATGAGGAGAGATGAAGGCAGGAGGCTCTTAAATATGGGCAATACCCTCAAAGGCAAGCACCGTGGGTGCCAGGGGAAAGGGCAGGTGGGGCATCCCTGCCCTAAGCTGGGATTCTGAGGTCAGAGGGCCCAGGCCCCTGCAGGTGGGCAGAGAACTGCAAAAAGATCCTTGGATGATGAGGGCCAGCCGTGGAGGGTACTTGGAGGCAGAAAGGTCCTTTTTTTAAAAAAAAAAATTTATTAATTTATTTTTTGAGATGAAGTTTCGCTCATTACCCAGGCTGGAGTGCAATGGCGCAATCTCGGCTCACCACAACCTCTGCCTCCTGGGTTCAAGCAATTCTCCTGCCTCAGCCTCTGGAGTAGCTGGGATTACAGGCACGCGCACCACCATGCCCAGCTAACTTTTGTATTTTTAGTAGAGACAGGGTTTCACCATGTTGACCATGATGGTCTCAATTCTTGACCTCGTGATCCACCCACCTCGGACCCAAATAGGCGTGAGCCATCGCACCCGGCTGCAGGAAGGTCTTTGTCCCTCCACATCCCTCATTCCTGCTGGCACTGGCTGGGGACTCATCCTTTTCACATTTGCTAAGCCCCTAGAGCTCTGCTGTCCAACCAAGCAGCCACTAGCCACATGTAGCTGTCACATTAAAGATTTACTTTCGCCACACACATGCTCATGTCTCCTGAACAGCAAACACAGCCACACTATGGCCCTTTTTATTTTTTTTTGAGATGAGGCCTCACTATGTTGCCCAGGCTGCACTTTAACTCCTGGGCTCAAAACATCCTCCTGCCTCGGCCTCCCAGTGCCAGGGTTACAGGCCTGTGGCACTGCATCAGCTATGGCTGCTTTTCCATGTGTCAAACTGTCAAGTTATTTAAACACTAATTTGGGTAGTGATGTGAAACCATTTTGCAGATGAAATTAAAGCCCCTAATCAGCTAACTTTAAGGGAGATTATCCTGGGCAATCTGAGAGGCCTGATCCAATCAGCCAAAAGCCTTAAAAGCAGGACTGAGGCTCCCTCCAAGAAGTCCCCCCTAGGAAGCGCAGCTTCAACCTGGGCCCTGAGTTCAGCCAGCCCCCACAATCACCTAAGCCAGTTCTTCAGAATACACTGGATATGTGTGTACACACTGTCTCCCACTAGTTTAATTTCACTGCTTGAACCCTAATAAGACAAACGTTAAGGACAAGACCAAACAAAGCTTATCAAAATTTGAGATTAAGGGGGCAGAGGGCAAAGGCCAGACACCTGTGCACACCTCCCAGAAACACTCAAGCCAGCCCTCTCAAAGGCAGTTTGGAACCGGGGCCTACCATGCCACTGACTGTGGGTGTCTAAGCCTGGCAGGGACTGACACCCAGTGCTAGTAAGAGGCAGTGAAAACCTTCAACAGCCAGTCCCATCACTGCCCAAGTCACCCAAATGGGAAAGCTGGATTCAAAACCCCAGTCTCCAGCCAAGAGACCCTAAGCCCCAATGAATTCTTGACATCTGCAGCCTGAGGAAGCTCAGTCTGCAGAGCCACGTGCCAGTGCAAGACAGTGGTCAAAGGGTGAAGCCAGGGGGGTAGGGGAGGGACAGTGAGGGGTGCGAAGGTTGGGGAGACACTGGAAGAAATGCCTAATGTAGGTGACGGGGGATGGAGGCAATAGACCACCATGGCATGTGTGCACCTATACAACAGTCCTGCAAGATCTGCACATGTACCCCAGAACTTAAAGTGCAATTTGGAAAAAAAAAAAAAAAAAAAAAAGGATGAACCCAGCAACATACTGGGAAGGCCAACCACCCTCCGCCCCAGGCACCAAGGAAAACCTCTTTACCATGCCCCCTGGCCAGGGACAGCTAACACTTGGCTTCCTGCAGCCAACCCTCCCTATGCCCCGGCAGACTCACCTTGTAGAATTTCCTGAGGTTTTCTTTCTGAGTCTGGTTAATGACTGTGAGAACACGGGCAATAGATTTGCGCACGACTCGGCTACAAAACAGAGATGTCAGTGAAAATGGGGAAGATGAACAGCACTTTCCAAGGCTCAGGACCCACACACACAGGGCAGTGACAGCCCATCCATATTCACTCAGGAAGAAGGTATTCTGGGAGTGAGGTCTGAGGAGGGAAAGAGGGACATGGGATGGGCATTCCAGGAATGCAGATAGGGACTCCAGCGCTGTTGAGCTATGAAGTGTCAGTTGAGACAGCAGAGAAGGCTTTATGAGGAAGTACAGGCTGGAGAAATGGGGCAGAACAGGAAAAGACTTTCATTCCCAGAACACGGATTTATCCCGAGGGCTATGAAGCAACCAGCACCAATCTCAGTGAGCTGATGGGAGGGAATCATGCCACAAACCAGGCACTCAGGCCAGTTTAAGGAATCGCAGGAAAAATTAGACATTTGCAAAGTATAATCACTACAAGCTAGGAGACTGAACCAAGCAACAGGCTGGGGAGAATTTGTAGTAAGGTCGGGATGAGGGAATCACCTAGTGGATGGCTGGTCAACTTGGCTCCTGAGGATTCAGTGTGCAACTCTGCTCATTCAGTCCTCTCACCTTGCCCCACTAAGGCTGGGGGAAAGGAGGACAGCTGCCCTTTCTTTTGGAGACAGGGTCTTATCTTTATCAGCCAGGCTGAAGAGCAGTGGCCCCATCATAGCCTCAAACTCTGGGCTTAAGTAATCCTCCTGCCTCAGCCACCATAGTAGCTGGGACTACAGGCCTGCACCACCCCCAGCTAATTATTTTGGTGAAGTGGACTTTGGACTCGGGTTGATGAACTCCAAACCCATGATCCTTTCACAAGCCTCCTGGACTCAGTCATGTAAAACAACTGACATTGCCACTCACGGGTGCAAGCCACCCACCTACCAAGAGGGAAAAGGTGAATTACAAAGTGTAGTGGGAAGCGGAAGGAAAGGGTCCAGGTAGTTTTGAAAGCAGCATTAAGATGGGTCTCCGAGAATGCACTCCAGGCACAAAGACCGTAAGGTCAAGGCAGGTAAGGGGCTAAGGTAAGCACACAACGGGTCTTCCACGCGCCCCGCGATTCGCTGAGTGGGCACCTAAGCGGCCACCTCCTTAAGCCAACTTTGAAATCCTCCGATGATCCCGATGCACACGTGCTCCCCCCGAGGGCTGTGATCGGCTCTCACTCACATCTTAGAGAGCTTGGAGGCCGCGCCGCCTGTCACTTTGGCGACTCGCAGCTGGGACAGCTCCACCTTCAGGTCGTCCAGCTGTTTCAGCAGCTCCTCCTTCTTTTTCCCGCGAAGGTCTCGAGCCTTTATCTTGGCCTGCGCGCAAGAGGGCGTGGGGTTCAGCCAGGCCGCGGGGCCATGTCCCCTCCACCTGCGCCGTGGCCAGCCCCAGAAGGCGTGCGACTCGCCCTCGACCACATGTGCGCTGGAGCCCCGGCCAGGGCTCAGGACCGTCTCCCCCACCGGCGGTGCCTCGGGCAGAGTAACCGAGGACCCGGCCGCGCGCCTCTCCCGACGCCCAGACTAGCATAGAAGGGAAGAGGCGAGCTTTGGCGGCGCGAGACCATTCAACAAGGCGCCCTACAGGCCCAGCTGGCAGACGGAAACCGGGGGCTCGGCCCGCACCGCCTACCCCAACCCCCACGCCTCCCAGCAGTCGGATGGTGCCCGATTCTGCCGCTCTCACCATCTCCGCACAGGCCTCCGCTGCCGCCGATGCCGCCGCCGCCCGCTCCAAGAGAAAGAGGAAGTGGGCGGGGCTGACTTCGGCAACTACTGCCGGGTGGCGACGGGCGCGACCAATAGCGCCGCAGCGGGGGAGCCCCCTCTCCGCCCCGTCTCCCCCGCCCCGGGGGAGCGCCGTGGTACCGCCCGCACGGCTCGGAGAAGCCGGTGTTCGCCCCTTGGTGCCTGCCTCTTTCAGTGCACCCCCGGTAGCGGGGTCGGCGTTAGCTCTAGGCGCGCAGTTGGGGAAACCGAGGCCCAACGTTGTCGGTAGCTTACCAGAGATGGCACACGGAGGACTCGAATTCGTCCATTCATTCATTCGTTCATTCACTGGGGAAAACTTGCAGATCTCCCAATCTGGGCAGCTCTGAGCTGGGCGCCGGTAATCTGGGGGTGCTGAGGGGAGGAGGGGGTCAGGGTTTTCAAAGATGATGAACCACAGCCCATGCCATGGAGGAATTTAAAGTGCGAGGTGGGCGGGAGGGGCGGGCTCAGGCAGTTATAATCCAACTCCATAAAGGTTCTGGGGAGACAGCAGGTGGCGGTGCAAAGAGCATTTACAGATTTACAGTCTTTTTTTTTTGAGAGAGTCTCGCTCTGTCGCCTAGGCTGCCAAGCTGGAGTCAGTGTCGCGATCTTGGCTCCCTGCAACCTCTGCCTTCCGGGTTCAAGCGATTCTCCTGCCACAGCCTCCCGAGTAGCTGGGATTACAGGCATGCACCACCACGCCTGGCTAATTTTTTGTATTTTTAGTAGAGACGGGGTTTTGCCATGTTGCCCAGGCTGATCTTGAACTCCTGAGCTCAGGCGATCCGCCCGCCTTGGCCTCCCAAAGTGCTGGGATTACAGGTGTGAGCCACCGCGCCCGGCCCCCAGCCTTTCTTTTGAAACAGGGTCTCGCTCTGTCACCCTGGCTGGAGGACGTGATCTCCACTCACCGAAACATCCACCTCCTGGGTTCAAGCAGTCCTCCCACCTCAGCCTCCTGAGTAGCTGAAACTACAGGCACATGCTACCAGGCCTGGCTAATTTGTGTTTTTTGTAGAGATGGTGCCCAGGCTGGTCCTCTGGGCTCAAGCGATCTGCCTGCCCTGCCTTGGCCTCCAAGAGTGCCTGGGATTATAAGCATGAGCCGCCTCACCTGGCATACGGCCTTTTTTATTTTTTGAGAGGGACTCTGGCTGTCACCCAGGTTGGAATGCAGTGGTGCGATCTGGGCTAACTGCAACCTCCACCTCCCCAGTTCAAGAGATTCTCTCCTGCCTTGGCCTCCTGAGTAGCTGGGGCTACAGGTGTCTGCCACTACACCAACCTGAATTTTTGTATTTTTAGTAGAGATGAGGTTTCACCATGTTAGCCAGGCTGGTTTCGAACTCCTGACCTCAAGTGACCTGCCTGTCGCAGCCACCCAAAGTGCTGGGATTGCAGGCGTGAACTACCACACCTGGTCAGCATGGCTTAGTTTTAAATGAAAGTCTAATGGTGCAGGGTGGCTTTGCTCTTATATTTTCCAAATGCTTATAATCGTGTTAAGGGCTCTGCACATCTTTTTTGAACCTCAAGTCATTTGTGACTCTTTCTCTTACACACCACATATAGTCAACCAGCAAAGCCGGCGTACTCTAACTTCAAATTTTACCCAGCTGGAGGTCAGGTGCGGTGGTTCATGCCTATTATCCTATCACTTTGGGAGGCCAAGGTGGGTGGATCACCTGAGGTCAGGAGTTCGAGACCAGCCTGCCAACATGGCAAAACCTTGTCTCTACTAAAAATACAAAAAAAAAAAAAAAAAAATAGCTGGGCATAGTGCCGTATGCCTATAATCACAGCTACTCAGATGGCTATGGCAGGAGAATCACTTGAATCCTTGGGGCAGAAGTTGCAGTGAGCCAAGACTGTGCCACTTCACTCCAGCCTGGGTGAAAGAGCAAAACTCTGTTTCAAACCAAAATTTACCCAACTTGTTCCCACCGTCCTCATTGGCCCCCCACCACCTGGCTTGGGCTACCACTGTCTATCCCCAGGACGGCTGGTGTCACCATTTAAATCACCTACGTTGGTTCTTGATCCTAGATGTGTTCTCAATACAGCTGCTTAGAAGGCCCTTTTCAAACAATTCAGATATCTGATTATTATATCACTGCTCTGCTCAGAATTTCCAGAGCTGTCCCATTTGAATTAATACTGAGTCCTTTCCTCAGCCTACAGAGCTCTACCCTCTTCCCAACCCCCATCTCATGTTTCTTCAGTTCCTGGCTGTTTCTGGAATATACTGAGCCCACCCCAATCTCTGAGCCTTCGCTTAGTTGCCTCCTTCATTTCCTTTCAGTCTCTCTTCAGCATCACCTCCTCAGGGACACCTCTTTTTTTTTTTCATTTTTAAGACAGAGTCTTGCTCTTGTCGCCCAGGCTGAAGTGCAGTGGCACAATTTTGGCTCGCTGCAACCTCTGCTTCCTGGGTTCAAGCGATTCTCCTGCCTCAGCCTCCTGAGTAGCTGGGACTACAGGTTAGCGCCATCTTGCCCAGCTAATTTTTGTATTTTTAGTAGAGAAGGTGTTTCACCATGTTGGTCAGGCTGGTCTCGAACTTCTGACCTCAGGTGATCTGCCCAATTTGGCCTCCCAAAGTGCTGGGATTACCAGAGGAGACTTCTTCAGCACTAGTTTCCCACTATCGGAGTCTGTATCCTTACCACCCAAGATTAGGTTGCATCATAGTCTGGCAATATTTTTTTGATCTATAGACACAGTTCAATGAGAATTATTCAAAGCAGTAAAAATGAATCGCATTCCAACTACTGACCTTTATTATAAAGAGTACTATTAGACAAAAATAGTTTTCATACTATTATATAAAAAGACCCATTTTACCCTAAGGCTAAGATCAATTAACAGAATCCCTGGGGTAACAGTCCAGGTACCAAATCTGGCACCTCAGTCATCGCTGACTTCCCTAACCCCCTTCCCCGAACTCAGATTCTGAGAATTTGGCGTATATCAAGGTATCTCTCTCCAGCCAGGCCTCTCCTGCCAGGACGGTGGCCACAGGGCCATCTCCCTCTCCTGGCCACCCCCAACTGCCTGGCCAAGGTGACTGCTACACACGTAGGGTGGCAAAAACGTCTTCAGCATCTTGTCAGTCCCCTGGACACACTAAATGTCTTTATTAGTTTATTTTTGAGACGGAGTTTTGCTCTTGTCGCCCAGGCTGGAGTGCAAAAGCGCGATCTCGGCTCAGTGCAACCTCCGCTTCCCGGGTTCAAGCGATTCTCCTGCCTCAGAATCCCAAGTAGCTGGGATTACAGGCATGTGCCACCACGCCCGACTAATTTTTTATTTTTAGTAGAGGTGGGGTTTCTCCATGTTAGGCTGATCTCGAACTCCCGACCTCATCCACCCGCCTCGGCCTCCCAAAGTGTTGGGATTACAGGCGTGAGCCACCGCGCCCGGCCCTAAACGTCTTTAAAGTCTCCCACTCCTTTAACAGAGTCACTTTTGTGTACAGGCGGCCTCCTCGGGCTAAGTGTGGTGGCGTTCAAGGCTCCGAGACACAGACCCCTCCCGGTCACTTCCCGGGCCCAGGAACTCCTACTCATCCCTCAGACATCAGCTCGAAGGTTTCTTCTCCAAGAAGCTTGTCCGGGACTCGAGAAGTAGAGCCGCGAGCCTTCTCCCAGGAGCTCAGTGTTCCCCAGTCGGGGCAGATCTCAGCCCGGCAGCCCGCGCCGGGCCTTGCTGAGGCAGGGGCTCCTCGGAGGCGCGGGAAACCCGGAGAACGAGCGCAGTTACGGCGCACACGATGCAGGGCCTGCATGGATACCGGACGCCTGCTCCCCAGCGGGAAAACTGAGGCAGGGCAGAAGGTACACTGCGGTTGGGAAGGTCGCGGAGACCCTCCAACACCCTTCAGGAGCCGAGCTCCGCCCCGCCCCTGACAGCGCTTCCGGATCCGGCGTGGGCCGGAAGTGGGCGGGCGGCGGCGGCTACGCGCGTAGGCGGTGGAGGAGGTGCTGGAGGAGCCGGGCGGCCGCTTCCCGCCCCCGAGCCTGAGCCGGCGCGAGCGGAGCGGAGGTCGGGCCGCGAGGGGAGCCGGCTGAGCGGGCGCCGAGCTCCCGCCATGGCCCGGAACACCCTGTCCTCGCGCTTCCGCCGGGTGGACATAGACGAATTTGACGAGAACAAATTTGTGGACGAGCAGGAGGAGGCGGCGGCGGCGGCAGCGGAGCCAGGCCCGGACCCGAGCGAGGTGGACGGGCTTCTGCGGCAATATCCTTCCCTGGCGCAGCGGCCGGGCCTGCGCGCAGCCTTTCTCCTTGCCCACCTTCCTGACCCCTTCCGGGCGGACCTCCTCTATCCCCTACCCCTGGCTCCCACGGGTCGGCCTCCTACTCCCTGCCAACCCGGCTCCCCTAGGCCATGCTTCCCTGAGTCCGGGTCTCCCTGGGTCCCTCATCCCCGGCCCTGGCGCCTTCCTCGGCAGCGCAGCCCCGCAGGTCCCTGGACCTGGTGGACCGCCTCCCTCGGCTGCCCTGCGCCCTCTTTCCCCGTTGCCTCCTCATCCCCTCCTGCTGTCCCTTCCTGGGAGCCCCAGCACCCCCGTCCCTCCCTTGCAGGAAATCGGGCTTGTGGCGGGGCTGGGTCGGCAGCAGGGCGGAGGTGAGCCGCATCTGAGTAACCGAGTGGTCAGGGAGGCTGGGGCGCGGTCCTCCGGGGCTTTCCGTGACTGGGCTGCCCCATGGCGTGAAGATAGGTGGGTGGACGGCGGTGGGGAAGACAGGACCCAGGAGAGAGTGGAGGCGGCCGCCGTAGCTCAGCCCTGGGGTCAGGTGCTCCTCCTCCCCCAGTCAGTCTGATCCTCCCTCTAATGCTGAGAAAGGGGGACCCTGTGGTTCCTCTGGACACCTTGGTGGTCTCAGCCACGCTCAACAAGGTAGTCTTGGCTCCCCTCGGTACCCTTCTGGTTCAGGAAGCAGCAGAAAAAACTAGAGTTCAGAGCTAAGAAAACCAGACACCTGAAAGTGAAGTGTGAAAGTGGAGCCCCACGCCTGGAAATGACTGTTACTGTGGCCACAGAAAACAGCATTTAGAAAAGATTAAAAATAGAGGTAATAGTCACAGCCTTGCTTGGTCCCTTAGCAGCATGAGCGCAGGAAACTGACTTATTCTCTCACCGGAAGGATTTGTCTTTATTCAAACGCTGTTCCAGGAAGCGTGTCCCCTCCCCCTGCACTGGCCGGGGCAGGGTTGGAGGCCCCTGCTGTACATAAGTCACGTTCTCGGTGTTGAGCCATTTGACTCAGCTTGGAAAGTGGGGCCTGCTGCTTGAGGGGAGCC